AGTTGTGAGTGTGGGGGAAGTGCATGGGACAGTGAGTAGAATGAAAGGGGGTAAAGCAGCTGGGACTGATGGGATGAAGATAGAAATGTTAAAAGGAAGTGGAGATATAGTTTTGGATTGGTTAGTGTTTTTATTAAATAAATGTATGGAAGAGGGTAAGGTACCTAGGGACTGGCAAAGAGCATGCGTAGTTCCTTTATATAAAGGCAAAGGGGACAAAAGAGAGTGTAAAAATTGTAGGGGAATAAGTCTGGTAAGTATTCCTGGTAAAGTGTATAGTAATTATTGAAAGAATTAAGAGTAAGACAGAGAGCAGGATAGCAGATGAACAAGGACGTTTTAGGAAGGGCAAGGGGTGTGTAGACCTAGTATTGGCAGTGAAATGTATAGGTGAGCAGTATTTAGATAAGGGTAAAGAGGTTGTTGTGGCTTTTATGGATTTGGAAAAGGCGTATGACAGGGTGGATAGGGGGGGCAATGTGGTAGATGTTGCAAATGTATGGAATAGGAGGTTGGTTATTGAAAGCAGTAAAGAGTCTTTATGAGGACAGTGAGGCTCAGGCTAGAGTATGTAGCCAGTAAAAGTAGGCCTTAGACAGGGATGTGTGGTATCATCATGGTTGTTCAACATATTTATAGATGGAGTTGTAAGAGAAGTGAATGCTTGAGTGTTGGCAAGAGGTGTGGGATTAAAAGATTAAGAATCTAACACAAAGTGGGAGTTGTCACAGTTGCTTTTTGCTGATGACACTGCTTTTGGGAGATTCTGAAGAGAAGTTGCAGAGGTTGGTTGATGAGTTTGGTAGGGTATGAAAAAGAAGGAAATTAAAAGCAAATATAGGGTGAATGTAAAGTGATGAGGATAACAAAACAATTAGGTAACGGAAGATTGGATACCAGACTGGAGGGAGAGTGTATGCAGGCAGTGAATGTATTCAGATATTTGGGAGTGGACATGTCAGCAGATGGGTCTATGAAAGATGAGGTAAATCATAGAGTTGACGAGGGGAAAAAGGTGAGTGGTGCACTGAGGAGCTTGTGGAGACAAAGAACTTTATCCATGTAAGCAAAGAGGGGAATGTATGAGAGTATAGTTATACCAGCAATCTTGTATGTTTGTGAGGCATGGGTTGTGAATGTTGCAACAAGGAGAAGGCTGGAGGCAGTGGAAATGTCATGTCTGAGGGCAATGTGTGCTGGGAATACTATTATGCAGAGAATCCGTAGTTTGGAGATTAGGAGGAGGTATGGGATTACCAAAACTATTATCCAGAGAGCTAAGGAGGGGTTATTGAGGTGGTTTGGATATGTAGAGAGGATGGAACAAAATAAATTGACTTCGAGAGTATATAGATCTGTAGTGGAGGGAAGGCAGGATGGGGGTCGGCCTAGGAAAGGTTGGAGGGAGGGGGTAAAGGAGGTTTTGTGTGCGAGGGGCTTGGACTTCCAGCAAGCATGCATGAACGTGTTAGATAGGGGTTAATGGAGGAAAATGGCTTTTAGGACTTGACATGCTGTTGAAGTGTAAGCAAGGTAACATTTATGAAGGGATTCAGGGAAACCGGCAGGCCAGACTTGAGTCCTGGAGATGGGAAGTACAGTGCTGGCCCTCTGAAGGAGGGGTGTTAATGTTGCAATTGTATAACTGTAGTGTAGGCATGCCTCAGGCAAAACAGTGATGGAGTGATTGATGATGAAAGTTTTTCTTTTTTAGGCCACCCTGCCTTAGTGGGAAATGGCCAATGTGTTAATAAAAAAAAAATATTAAGAAAGTAGTGCTAGAGTATTCAGCAGAAGTTTGTGGTTACAGGAAAGTGGGTGCAGGAGGGAAGAGCAGTTGGTGGAATAATGAGGTAAAGAGAGTAGTAAGAGAGAAAAAGTTAGCCTATGAGAGGTTTTTCCAAGGTGGAAGGAGTGTATGGAGAGAAAAAGAGAGGTTAAGAGAGTGGTGAAGCAATGTAAAAGGAGAGGAGATGAGAGAGTGGGTGAAATGGGATCAACAAATTTTGCTGAGAATAAGGAAAAGTTTTGGAGTGAGATTAACAAGTTGAGAAAGCCTAGGGAATGAATGGATTTGACAATTAAAAATAGGAGAGGAGAGTTATTAGACAGAGAGTTAGAGATATTGGGAAAATGGAGGAAATATATTGAGGAACTGTTAAATGTTGATGAAGATAAGGAAGCTGTGATTTCATGTATTGGGCAAAAAGGTATAATACCTTCTAGGCACGAGGAAGAGCTAGTTGTGAGTGGGGGGAAGTGTGTGGCAATGGGTAGAATGAAAGGGGGTAAAGCAGCTGGGATTGATGGGATAAAGACAGAAATGTTAAAAGCAGGTGGGGATATAGTTTCGGAGTGGTTAGTGCTGTTTATTTAATAAATGTATGAAAAAGGGTAAGGTACCTAGGGATTGGCAGGGCATGCATAGTTCCTTTGTATAAGGGCAAAGGAGATGAAAGAGAGTGTAAGAATTATAGGGAAATAAGCCTGTTGAGTATACCTGGTAAAGTGTATGGTAGGGTTATTATTGAAAGAATTAAAAGTAACTAGGTAGTAGGTTGGTAAACAGCAACCGCCCAGGGAGGTACTACCGTCCTGCCAAGTGAGTGTACAACGAAAACCTGTAATTGTTTTACATGATGGTAGGATTGCTGGTGTCTTTTGTCTGTCTCATAAACATGCAAGATTTCAGGTATGTCTTGTTACTTCTACTTACACTTAGGTCACACTACACATACATGTACAGACATATATATACACACCCCTCTAGGTATTCTTCTATTTTCTTTCTAGTTCTTGTTCTTGTTTATTTCCTCTTATCTCCATGGGGAAGTGGAACAGAATTCTTCCTCCGTAAGCGATGCGTGTTGTAAGAGGCGACTAAAATGCCGGGAGCAAGGGGCTAGTAACCCCTTCTCCCGTATAAATTACTAAATTTAAGAGAAACTTTCATTTTTCTTTTTGGGCCACCCTGCCTTGGTGGGATACGGCCAGTGTGTTGAAAGAAAGAAAGAATTGAAAGTAAGATGGAGAGCAGGATTGCAGATGAACAAGGAGGCTTTAGGATGGGTAGGGGGTGTGTAGACCAAGTGTTCACAGAGAAACATGTAGGTAAACAGTATTGAGATAAAGGTAAAGAATTTTTTGTGGCATTTATGGATTTTGAAAAGGTGTATGACAGGGTGGATAGGGGGGCAGTATGGCAGATGGTGCAAATATATGGAACAGGAGGTAGGTTATTGAAAGCAGTGAATGAAGAGTTTTTAAGAGGATAGCGAGGCTCAGGTTAGAGTTTGTAGGAGAGAGGGAGATTATTTTCTAGACAGGGATGTGTGATGTCACCGTGGTTGTTCAATATGTTTATAAATGGGGTTGTAAGAGAAGTGAATGCTCGGGTGTTGGCAAGAGGTGTGGGGTTAAAAGATAAAGAATCTAACACAAAGTGGGAGTTGTAACAGTTGCTCTTTGCTGATGACACTGTGCATTTGGGAGATTTTGAAAAGAAGGAAATTTAAAGTGAGCATAGGAAAGAGTAAGGTGATGAGGATAACAAAAATTTAGGTAATGAAAGATTGGATATCAGATTGGAGGAAGGGAGTATGAAGGAAGTGAATGTATTCAGGTATTTGGGAGTTGACTTGTCTGCAGATGGGTCTATGAAAGATGAGGTGAATAATAATAATAATAATAATAATTATTTTATCATGATACATGTTTGTACAAAGGAGTATAACAACTGAGTGTACATACCAAAAGCCCCTTTATATGCAGAGCATTCTGGGCAAACTTAAGATTAATGAGGCAATAACAGTGCAGTAATTATACATACGATCATTAGGTGAGTTACAATGAATACAAGAAAATTGCATATTTTATTACTTCATGCCATAAGGCTTTAATAAGTTTGGTAGAGAAGGCTTAAAATTTTTATTATTAACCTAAGGCGGACACAATAGAATGATTAACATTTGAGAGGATTACAGATATTGGGAGTAAGTATATGTTGATTATAATGTTTTTACTAAGTTCTTGATATTGAGCAATTGCATGTTTAGTTTTTACATATTTGTTTATGATGAGCTAGGATAGGTTGAGATGATAAGGTGTTTTCTAACTGTGGTTTTAAAAATACTAGTTGAGTCTGGAGATTACTCGCAGAGAGTTCCAGATTTTGGGTCCTTTTATGTACATTGACTTTTTGTAAAGATTTAGCCTGACACTGGGAATGTCATAGAGATTTTAGTGCCTTGTATTGTGTCCACGGGTCCTATTGCAACTGTCAAGAAAGTACTTCAGGTCAGGAATCATAGAACTGATGAGGGAAAAAAGGCGAGTGGTGCACTGAAAAGTCCATACAGACAAAGAACGTTATCCATGGCAGCAGAGAGGGGAATGTATGAGAATATAGTCATACTAACGCTCTTATATGGGTGTGAAGCATGGGTGGTGAATGTTGCAACAAAGATAAGGCTGGAGGCAGTTGAGATGTCGTGTCTGAGGGAAATGTGCATTGTGAATATACTGCAGAGAATCCATAGTTTGGAAATTAGGAGGAGGTGTGGGGGTTACTATCCAGAGGGCTGAGGAGGTGTTGTTGAGGTGGTTTGGACATCTAGAGAGGATGGAATGAAATAGAATGACCTGGAGAGCGTATAAATCTGTAGTGGCTTAAGGAGGCAGTAAAGGAGGGTTTGTGCGCAAAGAGCTTGGAGTTTCAGCAAGAATGCATTGAGCATGTTACATAGGAGCGAGTGGAGACAAGTGGTTTTTAGGACTTGCTGTTGGAGTGTGAGCAAGGTAACATTTATAAAGGGATTCAGAAAAACTGGCAGGTCGGACTTGAGTCCTGGAGGTGGGTAAGGCCAATGTGTTAATAAATAAATTAAAAAAATATTGTTTTCTGGTTTCAGCATTTGTATTTTTTATTTAATAACTACATGTATACTATTCATATTGCAAATTAACCCATAACATATTTTATATCATATAAATGTCAACAGGTTCAGACAAGAATCCAGTTATGCGTGTGTGGGACGCCAAGAATTGTGTGCGACTGCTGGCGGCTGCAGGTCTGGGGTTTGTAACCTGTCCAGTTGAGGATCCTCGAGTGGCTTCCTGGATGCTAGACCCTGGAGGAAAGGAATTTAATATATGCAATCTTGTAAGATATAACATTTAGATCTTATAAGCATTTGTCTTTTATGTTATTCAGGTATCATTGCATTATGAAGAGAGATCAGGTTTTAAGCCATCAAAAAGCAGTATGGTGGCATTCTTTGACTACTGAATATTGGCTCATTCGAAATAATGCAACTGGTTTAATGAGTTGACATTTCTTGAATGTAGGAAATATGTCCAAAGGGAAACTCGAGTTTCAATTAAATATCCTTCCAGGAGCGGTCTCAAAAATTCCAAAATCATTTTAGAATAATTAGAGCACATACACACTACAAGTAAATGATGTAAATACAATTAACCATTGCGTCACAACCCCTAAACACAAAATATTGCAAAAAAAATACATTTTGTAGAAGATTAGAATTATAGTTTACATGACACACAAATATAGTAAATTTGTAATAGATAAATAAACTCATAATTAACCCTTTGACTGTGACAAGGCAAGCTCCCTCTTGAAACCTTGTTTGCCAAATTTTTGGTAATAAAAAAAATATTCTTGTGAAATGTTAGAATATCTTTTCCAATGAATGACTACCAAAAAGTTACCTGAGATTAGGTAAAACCCAAAACACTCCTAGGAATTAATGCTCCCGAAGTTAAGAGCAGTTCTCTGTGACATATAGCAATCAGGCGATTTTGCACTATATTGAGCCCTTTTTGGCAATTAGTTGTTCCAGTTGACCAACTCATTAGATTATTTCTTTAGAACTCCATTTTTTCTATCAACTGATTTGAACTACCCAATAAAGTTTACCTGGAGAGAGTTCCAGGGGTCAACGCCCCCACAGCCCGGTCTGTGACCAGGCCTCCTCAGAAATTGGCAACTTGGCCAATTTCACACAAATTAAAAAGATGCAAATTTCAAAATAGGGTCTAGAATAACAATGCAGACATTCTTGGCACTAAAATAACATATCCTTTGTTCATTAGTCATGTCTCTAGGCCCCTCTTATATTACTATTGCTTTCTATTTTGATTTTTTATTCATACAAAAAATACAAAATTTACTGTTATGCAGACTACTGCATTGTTGTAAAAATGGTATAAATAATATCAGTGCACTAGTGAAAGAATATTAGACTCCCCAGTTGACGTGTATTGGACGTGTGGTGTGATTGCTTACTCTTGAACATTGGTAAAAATCAAATATATCCGCTATTTTGAGCTCAATTTCAAGGTCGTTTTCATCATGAAACTAATCAAAATCATCTCTATTTCTGCAATATGTTTTCCATTTTATCATGTGAGACCATGAAAACGAGAATATGACGATAAATACTATACGAAAATACACCTCAAAGTCGGCGTTTTAATCCAAAAAAACAGTCAAGAGTTTTTTTTTTTCATTATGCGCTGCATGCTGCAAGAATTTTTTTATGTGGTGCACACTGACCACACAGACCCATTCTCTCACATGTGGGCCTACCAGCTTTCTCCTGCTTGATTTGAAGCCGCTAGAATTATTGAGTATATATACGTCCTAAACACTGGCTCATAATACGTATATATACGACCAAAACAGTCAAAGGGTTAAATAAACATATAAAATAACATTTTACTTACCTTTATTGAAGATTGTTGATGGCATCTGGAAGATAGGGAAGAGGAGTGAGGGAGCACTTATTGTTTGGAAGGGGAATCCCCTTCCATAAAGACCTTAGATAGCAAGTCCTTATCTGGGGTAACTTCCCTTCTTTAATTCTTTCAGGATTCGTGCAATAGTTCTACGACTTTGAGTTCTGGGTCCAAACCATAGTTCTATGCCATGAGCTCAGCTCACTCAGATAAGCTGTGAGTGGTAAATTTGGGCCTAGATATGAGAGAATACATCTATGTGATAGGTGTGCACCACATAAAACAAATCCTGCAGCACAAAGTGCATAATGAGAGAAAAAACTGAGACCATAATTTTTTATTAAGCAGCGACTTTGCGGTGTTTTTTCGTATGTTTTTTGTAGTTGTATTTGCTATTTCTTGGTCTCATTTGATATAATGGAAGATGCATTACAGAAATAGAGATGATTTTGATTGGTTTTAGTACCGAAAATGGCTTGAAACTGAGTGCTAAGTAGGGGAAATGTTAAATTTTTGCTGATGTTCAAGAGTAAACAAACTCCATAAATCATCCAATGCATGTCAGCTGATGGGTCTTATGTGTGTTCACAAATGTGCTGATATTATTTATACAATTACTACAATATTGCATAACAGTAAATCTTCCATTTTTTTATTTTAATAAAAATTCATTATGTTAATAAAGAATCAAAATGGAATTCATTTGTAAAGCCTGAAAATATAGCTAATGAACAGAGGAAGTGTTAGATTAGTTTCAGGAATGCTGCATTGTTTATTCTGGACCCTATTTTGAAATAGAAATATTTTGAACTTTGTGATAAATTGGCCAAATTACCAATTTCCTGTCACTTTATTGGGTAGTTGAAATAGTTGACTTGGTGATTTCTTGTGCTCAGTTAATAAAATAGAAGTAATACTAGCGAAATGGCTAAGAATTTGGTCGACTGCAATAATGTAATTGGCCTAAAATGGGAGTCAGAGTCGGCAAAATGGCTGATGCATCAAAATTTGAGAGAGCATAATTTCGTCAATTTTCCATCAAATTTGTACTTTTTGTTTTATTACCTTCAGAAAAAGATTCTCTACCATTTCATAAGAAAAAAAATAACTTTTTTTTTTTTTTTTTTTTTTTTTTTTTTCCAAAATTCTTGGACCCTGTGGACACGTCTCAGATTTTGGGTCTGGACCCAGAAAGGGTTAAGATTTCCCTAAAATGGGATATGGTTCTATCACTGAACAAGTTGTAGAGATGACTTGTTTCTGCTTGCTCAGGGTAATATTTTATGCCTGCACCCTCTTCCACACTGCACAAATCTCCTTAATCTCTGAAGAAGGCACCATCCATCACCACCATCCTCCAATACCATCCACCACCATCACCATCCTCCAATACCATCCACCACCATCACCATCCTCCAATACCATCCACCACCATCACCATCCTCCAATACCATCCACCAGCACCACCATGCACCATCACCACCATGGTAGCTTATTTCACAGTCGCACTTAATAAACAAGCACCAAGCACAATGAATTAATTGTCAAATGTTTAAATGAGCACACAGGTTTACTCAAGCATAAACAAAGCCAGACTGGCTCATGACGCCTCCGTGGGGACGCGGACAGAGCGGGCAGGTGGACAGGTCCAGCACCCGGTGGTTTGAAACACGGGGCAAGTTCGATACTCAGGACAAAATTGGTTCAAATAGAGCGGTCGAAACTCGAAGCGTTTGATAGTCGATACGTTTGAAACTCAGGGTTTCACTGTATATGATTATCAAGGCATTTATTGAGGAAACGTTTCAACCCCCTCAAGGGGCTTCTTCAGTCCAGTGGGAGAAACATTTCCTCAACATGCATGGCTTACTGAGGAAGAATTCTGTTCCACTTCTCCATGGAGATGAGAGGAAATAAACAAAAACAAGAACTAGTAAGAAAATAAAAGAAAACCCAGAGGGGTGTGTATATAATATATGCTTGTACATGCATGTGTAGTGTGACCTAGGTGTAAGTAGAAGTAGCAAGACATACCTGAAGTCTTGCATGTCTATGAGACAGAAAAAAGACACCAGCAATCCTGTAGCTAAGTGAGTCACATTGTTAGAAAGTTTGTCCTGTACTAATAATGTTCCTGCATAATTATTGTAATTCATTGTTTGATTATATGCTAACATTTCTTTGCCATTCACAGGTAATGAAGCACAGTCTTGAAAATCTTCCACTCTTGGAGGGAGTTGGTAGTTCACTGGGTTTGTCAAGTCTTGGAGTCAACACCAATAATCCCGGATCATGTCGTGTTCGAGCAGCGACAGAAAGTGTTGCTGTCTATCACCTTATGACAGCGCTCAAAGTGCAGTTAGAAAACCTTGGCATGTTACGAGCTTTTGTAAGTTATGGAGGCACTTATGTTGAGTTCACATTATGTGTATTTTACTGTGAATAATATGAGTCTTCCATGGAAGTGCAATTTTTTTCTTGGCTATATTTCATTACTAGTTGATTGTCTGTTATAGTGCCTTGAACTACATTTTTTATATAGAATATTTAAAAAAAAATTAATCTTTTAAAAAATTTCCTTGATTTCTTTCAGTATTTTTTTTTTTTCACTTTGCGTACCAGGTACTTCATACCTTCGACTCAAGTCCAGCTGATTGGTTTCCACATGAATCCCTTCATAAATAATTCCTTGCTCACACTCCAGCAGTACATCAAATCCTAAAAACTACTTACGTTCATTCACTTTGATCTAACAGTCACACATCTGCTTCATTATTTTTATTAATATGAGATAAGATCCATATGTGCCACCAGACTTAATTGTAAATGTAATTTGATTTGTGGTTTATGCTATGAATAGAATGTTTTTTCTTAAAAAAGTGGTTTCTTTTGGCAAAAATGATAGCATCACGTTTGAAACTCCTAGATGACTAACCATATGTTTATTTAATTTCTTTTACCACTGGTCATCTCCCACTAATGTTAGTTGACCCCAAAAATTTTTTTTTTCTTTTTGTAACAAGTCGGCCATCTCCCACCGAGGCAGGGTGACCCAAAAAGAAAGAAAATAACCAAAAAGAAAATACTTTCATCATCATTCAACACTTTCACCTCATGCACACATAATCACTGTTTTTGCAGAGGTGCCCAGAATACAACAGTTTAGAAGCATATACGTATAAAGATACGCAACATATCCCTCCAAACTTCCAATATCCCGAACCCCTCCTTTAGAGTGCAGGCATTGTACTTCCAATTTCCAAGACTCAAGTCCGGCTATATAAAAATATCTGGTTTCCCTGAATCTCATCACTAAATATTACCCTGCTCACACTCCAGCAGCTCGTCAGGTCCCAAATACCATTCGTCTCCATTCACTCCTGTCGAACACACTCACGCACGCTTGCTGGAAGTCCAAGCCCCTTGCCCACAAAACCTCCTTCACCCCTTCCTTCCAACCTTTTTGAGGACAATCTCTACCCCGCCTTCCTTCCCCTTCAGATTTATACGCTCTCCATGTCATTCTACTTTGATCCATTCTCTCTAAATGACCAGACCACCTCAACAGCCCCTCTTCTTCCCTCTGACTAATACTTTTATTAACTCCACACCTTCTCCTAATTTCCTCACTCCGAATTTTCTGCATAATATTTACACCACACATTGCCCTTAGACAGGACATCTCCACTGCCTCCAAATAATTTTTTTTTTTTTTATTATTATCACACTGGCCGATTCCCACCAAGGCAGGGTGGCCCGAAAAAGAAAAACTTTCACCATCATTCACTCCATCACTGTCTTGCCAGAAGGGTGCTTTACACTACAGTTTTTAAACTGCAACATTAACACCCCTCCTTCAGAGTGCAGGCACTGTACAGTGGACCCCCGCATAACGATGGCATCGCATAGCGATTTTTCCGCATAACGATTACTTTTATCGCAAAATTTTTGCCCCGCATACCGATTAAAAACCCGCATACCGATTTTCGTCCGAGACGCGTCCAATGTGCCCTCACATGTGCCGGCCGTCCCATTGTTTACCAGCCAGCCTCCGCGGTAACATCCAAGCATACACTCGGAATATTTCGTATTATTACAGTGTTTTCGGTGGTGTTTCTGGAAAATAAGTGACCATGGGCCCCAAGAAAGCTTCTAGTGCCAACCCTGTGGTAAAAAGGGTGAGAATTAGTATGGAAATTAAGAAAGATTTTGAAGGGTTTGGGGCTAACCCTGAGAAGCCTATGCCAGTTGTGGAATCCATTGTGCCTACTTCAAAGATTAAGGAAATGTGTGCAGAGTGGTTTGAACTGCAAACCTTTATAGATGAAAATCACCCTGACACAGCTGTTGCAAGCCGTGCTTGTGACTATTTCAATGACAATGTTATGGCCCATTTTAGGAAAGTCTTGAAGAAACGGGAGGTACAGAGCTCTATGGACAGATTTGTTGTGCGACAGAGGTCCAGTGACTCTGAAGCTGGTCCTAGTGGCATTAAAAGAAGAAGGGAAGTAACCCCAGAAAAGGACTTGCTACCTCAAGTCCTAATGGAAGGGGATTCCCCTTCTAAACAGTAAGAAGATAATGCTCTCCCCTCCTCCCATCCCATCAATCATCACCAGATCTTCAATAAAAGTAAGTGTCATGTAATTGTGCATGCCTTTTTCAGTTTGTGTGTATTAAAATTAACATTTCATGTGGTAAAAAAAATTTTTTTTCATACTTTTGGGCGTCTTGCACGGATTAATTTTATTTCCATTATTTCTTATGGGGAAAATTAATTCGCATAACGATTATTTCGCATAACGATGAGCCCTCTTGCACGGATTAAAATCGTTAACCGGGGGTCCACTGTACTTCCCATCTCCAGGACTCAAGTCCGGCCTGCCGGTTTCCCTGAACCCCTTCATAAATGTTACTTTCCTCACACTCCAACAGCACGTCAAGTATTAAAAACCATTCGTCTCCATTCACTCCTATCAAACACGCTCACGTACGCCTGCTGGAAGTCCAAACCCCTCGCACACAAAACCTCCTTTACCCCCTCCCTCCAACCTTTCCTAGGCCGACCCCTACCCCGCCTTACTTCCACTACAGACTGATACACTCTTGAAGTCATTCTGTTTCGCTCCATTCTCTCTACATGTCCGAACCACCTCAACAACCCTTCCTCAGCCCTCTGGACAACAGTTTTTGGTAATCCCGCACCTCCTCCTTAACTTCCAAACTACGAATTCTCTGCATTATATTCACACCACACATTGCCCTCAGACATGACATTTCCACTGCCTCCAGCCTTCTCCTCGCTGCAACATTCATCACCCATGCTTCACACCCATATAAGAGCGTTGGTAAAACTATACTCTCATACATTCCCCTCTTTGCCTCCAAGGACAAAGTTCTTTGTCTCCACAGACTCCTAAGTGCACCACTCACCCTTTTCCCCTCATCAATTCTATGATTCACCTCATCCTTCATAGCCCCATCCTCTGACACGTCCACTCCCAAATATCTGAATACAATTCACCTCCTCCATACTCTCTCCTCCAATCTGATATCCAATCTTTCATCACCTAATCTTTTTGTTATCCTCATAACCTTACTCTTTCCTGTATTCACTTTTAATTTTCTTCTTTTGCACACCCTACCAAATTCATCCACCAATCTCTGCAACTTCTCTTCAGAATCTCCCAAGAGCACAGTGTCATCAGCAAAGAGCAACTGTGACAACTCCCACTTTATGTGTGATTCTTTATCTTTTAACTCCACGCCTCTTGTCAAGACCCTCGCATTTACTTCTCTTACAACCCCATCTATAAATATATTAAACAACCACGGTGACATCACACATCCTTGTCTAAGGCCTACTTTTACTGAGAAATAATTTCCCTCTTTCCTACATACTCTAACTTGAGCCTCACTATCCTCGTAAAAACTCTTCACTGCTTTCCGTAACGTACCTCGTACACCATACACCTGCAACATCTGCCACATTGCCCCCCTATCCACCCTGTCATATGCCTTTTCCAAATCCATAAATGCCACAAAGACCTCTTTAGCCTTATCTAAATACTGTTCACTTATATGTTTCACTGTAAACACCTGGTCCACACACCCCCTACCTTTCCTAAAGCCTCCTTGTTCTTCTGCTATCCTATTCTCTGTCTTACTCTTAATTCTTTCAATAATAACTCTACCATACACTTTACCAGGTATACTCAACAGACTTATCCCCCTATAATTTTTGCACTCTCTTTTGTCCCCTTTGCCTTTATACAAAGGAAACTATGCATGCTCTCTGCCAATCCCTAGGTACCTTACCCTCTTCCATACATTTATTAAATAATGCACCAACCACTCCAAAACTATATCCCCACCTGCTTTTAACATTTCTATCTTTATCCCATCAATCCCGGCTGCCTTACCCCCTTTCATTTTACCTACTGCCTCACGAACTTCCCCCACACTCACAACTGGCTCTTCCTCACTCCTACAAGATGTTATTCCTCCTTGCCCTATACACGAAATCACAGCTTCCCTATCTTCATCAACATTTAACAATTTCTCAAAATATTCCCTCCATCTTCCCAATACCTCTAACTCTCCATTTAATAACTCTCCTCTCCTATTTTTAACTGACAAATCCATTTGTTCTCTAGGCTTCCTTAACTTGTTAATCTCACTCCAAAACTTTTCTTATTTTCAACAAAATTTGTTGATAACATCTCACCCACTCTCTCATTTGCTCTCTTTTTACATTGCTTCACCACTCTCTTAACCTCTCTCTTTTTCTCCATATACTCTTCCCTCCTTGCATCACTTCTACTTTGTAAAAACTTCTCATATGCTAACTTTTTCTCCCTTACTACTCTCTTTACATCATCATTCCACCAATCGCTCCTCTTCCCTCCCGAACCCACTTTCCTGTAACCACAAACTTCTGCTGAACACTCTAACACTGCATTTTTTAAACCTACCCCATACCTCTTCGACCCCATTGCCTATGCTCTCATTAGCCCATCTATCCTCCAATAGCTGTTTATATCTTTCCCTAACTGCTCCCTCTTTTAGTTTATAAACCTTCACCTCTCTCTTCCCCGATGCTTCTATTCTCCTTGTATCCCATCTACCTTTTACTCTCAGTGTAGCTACAACTAGAAAGTGATCTGATATATCTGTGGCCCCTCTATAAACATGTACATCCTGAAGTCTACTCAACAGTCTTTTATCTACCAATACATAATCCAACAAACTACTGTCATTTCGCCCTACATCATATTTTGTATACTTATTTATCCTCTTTTTCTTAAAATATGTATTACCTATAACCAAACCCCTTTCTATACAAAGTTTAATCAAAGGGCTCCCATTATCATTTACACCTGGCACCCC